TGGTAGCGATACTATTTAATGGAATATCGACCAAATGACTGAATTTCAAATCATTCAAACTATTGAAAAAATGTCTGTCTGTATGACTGCTTATTCTAGTAGAAATATAGACACTCTTACTGCCTGCAATAATATATATATATATATATATATATAGCACAATGAAATTTAAATAACAAAACTATTAGTAGAATTCAACAACAAATCAAATATAAGAAATTGGATTCAAATTCAAACCATAATCCCTCTCTTCTCCCTATCCCTCTCCCTTATCTCGTCTCTCTCTCACCATCAACGTAGGACCACCACACCACCAAGAGAGCTTCGTCGGTAGAAGAGCACCGCGGTGCTCACAGCCTTGCAGCCGTGAGCAGGTCAGGCAACGCTGCTCTGCACAGTGGCGATGGTACAACCCTGCCTGCAGGAAACTCCGGTCAACGCTGTATAGCAGGAATGTGTGCAGCACGGTGTTGTGTAGCAGCGATGTGTATAGAGATGGAGTTGTGATGGAGTTGCGTGAATCTATACACATAGCACAGCGTCGATTTGTAGCTGCTACAACTCCGGTCACAGTCAGATCCAGATCTACATGTATAGATGTCGCATTAGTGTTGATGGTGGTGGCATCGAGCGGAGGTAGCTACGAGATTTGTGTTTATTTCATGGTAGTGCGTGGTTAATGGTGAATGATAGTGGTGATGTGTGGTGGTGGTGACATTTTCAAATCGGTCTGTGGCTGTCGCTGGGAGCTTCTGATGTGACGGTGAGGTGGTGATTCTGTAGGCGGTGGCGCAGAGGGTGATGGTGTGGAGGTGATTTGAGCTATGTTGTATTGGCGGCGACTATGTTGGTTGTAGTGGATTGGGGCTAAGGTGGGGCACGGCGAGGGCGGTGGTTGTAGCGACGATGGTGGTGGTGGTGGAGTGGGGTTAGGGTAGGGTAGGGTGCGGTGCAATGCGATGCGGTGGTGAAAGTGGTTTGTGACCAATTTGGATATTGTGATAAATAAATTGACTAATTTGTGATCAATAAATAATATGTGATCGATAACATAGATAATTTGTGACTAATAAGTAATATGTGACAGATAAAATATGTGAAAAGTGGCGCAGGCGGTGGTTGTGGCGGCGATGGTGGTGGTGGAGTGGGCTTAGGGTAGGGTAGGGTGCGGTGATGAAGTGGTTGTGTCCAGTTTGAATTATTGTGACCAATAAGTTGACTAATTTGTGACCAATAAGTAATATATATGTGATAAATAAGTAATATATAACCGATAAAATATGTGATTGATGAAATATGTGACCGGTAATATGTGACCTGTGAATATGTAATTGTGACCAAAATTGTGATTTTAATATATTTAAATAAAAAATATTTTTAATTATTTATTTAATTTAAAAAATTAGAATTACTACCTGATTCTTGAAAAGTTGAAAGAAGTTTGTTAAAAATTAAATTGTATTTGACAAACACCTTATTTATGAATTTTTCCCTTCAATTAGCATAGGTCCGTACTTGGGCCTCTGCCAATGGATATGTAAAATGGAAAGTTGGAAGCTTGAAAGCCTATTACATAGGAAAAACCTTTCTAATACAAAAGGAACCCAAAATAGTTGAGCCATAACAAATAAGAGTTAGAAAAGTATTCGAATATATGGTTTTGGCTAATTTACCAAAACACTGTGTAGTGATTTGAATTTATAAGATTACATTGCAACAGAATAACCAAAACAAAAAAAAGGAGCTAACTTAGCTCACAGTTGTACATGCTAAACATCGATTAAAACAATTCATAAATCAAGTGGTTAATATAACAGCAAAATCTAGAGAAAAATCTGCAGTAGATGAAGGTCCAAGATTTCTATAACAAACATCTTAGCATGTTAAGGGTTAAAATTCCACAACGAATAAAGATGAAAACATAGACCAATTTATAAGGATTTAAATTATTCATCTTAATAAAGTCAAGCTTAAGCCATATACATTGGTCGATATATGTTTTCATATTTATTCGATGTGGGGTTTTAACACTTAACCATAAGAAGGACCGAAATATAGGGCCAATTAGAGTTTGTCAATGATTATAACTTATTATTTTCCTGAGAGCAAATCATTCATCATTGAGATTTTTCCCACTTAAGCCATATAATATTCTTCAATAATCTTCCCAATTATTTAGCTCACATATAATATGATGGAAATATTTTACCGTTCGGACTAGTATTTTAACAAAATGTAGGGAAGTTTCTTCGGTAAAATGTACTAGTCAAAGGAGTAGGCAAGTCGAAGCCCAATTTCATTTTCCCTTAAGAAAAAATACTCTCACATAAAAAAATATTAGTTCAATATAAAAGAATTTTTAATCCAATTCCGACTCCACCCTTGAGTACTTATCCATCCAGAAAAGTAACATATATGAAATAGATTGGTCTAAAATATTTCTCATTGGTCTAAAATAGAAGGTTGGTCATATTGCATTGTAATGAGAGTAGTACTTCCAATTTTTATGTTTTAAAAACTTCTTCACCAGTTGTAATCTTTGGACGTAAGGCAATCATGTACCCCTCCCACTTCTACTTAATTCTTCCAGTATATAAATGTGATCGAGGAATCCAAACCCCCTATTTGGTTTGGATGGAACTTAACTTGTATTTTGATTTTTTTTTTTTTTTTTTAAAAAAAGACTCTTCTGATACCATATGGTATCTGCTGAATGTTATTAAAACTCGAGATATTAGAACAACGGATTTAATTTTAGGCTTATACACTTACCTAGTTTTGGACCGTTATGTATCACTATTCTCTTTCCCTATCTTTGTAACTTCTAGTTCTCTAATGAGGGCATATTAGTTGTTTCAATTAACTGGCATATCCTTATCACATGTAAGTTTCTTAAAGAAGACATTCCAATTAAGTTTTTCTAGTTTATATTTGCATCTCTTGCTTTCTCATTAGATCTATATACGTTTGATATTTAAAGGCACTTCCTATGTGTAATCAACAGATCTCTACCTATTTATGATCTTACAAGAAAATGAGGAGACTCGACCTCACTTCAAAATTAATCGAAGTCAAGAGTCTATAAGCTACCTTGCACCTCTATCTTTTAGAGAAGTGCTTCGACAAGATTTATAAGTACCAACCATATCTATATATGTGTATCCTACTAACTGATGCATCTCTAACTATGGTTGGGGAAGTTAAACTCAAGGTTAACCTATTGTAACATATAGCAGCCTAATTATGTGTTATGTCGTCTCCCAGTTGGCCTAGAGATCATTACTCTAGCATTCTCTCGTTCTGCATCTTTATGTCAAATGTTCGACTTGACATCCCCTAAAAAGTATTTAACTCTTGCCTAGTAAAGAAAAATAGCTAATCATGTATCTAATATAATTAATTTATCTTTACCATTGATTTCATATATCCGACAGCATTTTCACATATATATTTGTGTCTGAAGGGAGATTTCTTGCAATACATGAAAAGTTCACGTGCAAAAATTAATATTATAAACATATGTTAGTTTCCATAATCTTTTTTTGTATTCCTGTCTAATCTGGTAGGTGATATAAATATTTGTCTCATTTTCTTCTTGTCTGGATAATTTTAGCTTAGTTAACACTCTAGTGCGACGTCAGAACTGAAACCTCTCCCTCTCCTGCCAGAGTTTGTTTAACCCTAGCCATCTACGTGTGACTCAAATATTCCATTTATATATAATTGTTGTGTGCCTGTGTATATAAATCTCCTGTATTTTCAATTCTTGATGGTGTAAAATGACTTGCAACTACATTTCTTCTTCGTGAAGCATACATTATCAATTCTTGAAAAAACAAAACGTGAAGTCCAAGTGATCCTTCTCCATTTCTGTAGCGAATTGTATACCAAAAGTTTCCATTCTCTCTCACACACATAAACAGTCACACACACACAAAAACACACACACTTTGAGCAAGAACAGTAGGGCACAATAAAAAAGGATTTGTTCAGCTTCACCATACAACGGATAGAAAAGTATAGAGGAAGAAGAATTCAATACTTTGCCTACTCATAAGAGCAATTGTCTTGTGAGAGAACATGGTATAGAAGAGACAAGTCACTTTTTGCCTTTTAACCCTTTTGTCTCTCTTCACAAATTTTGTTTATTTTGAAGAAATAAAAAGAGGGTTCACAGTGGAATGAACAGAACTGAAAATAAGCACAGAGAAATGACTTGTAGCGGTAGTCGCCAAGATGACGAGGCCATTAATGAATGCCCTGCTTGTCCTTCATGTGGTCATCCAGTCAATCATCAAGAAAAGGTTTAGCAAATAAATAAAAATATAATTTTCTATTATGAATTATAATTTTAGTTTTCTTATGATGATAAATGATTTTTTTTTTCGCGGATTTGGTAAAATATGAGTAGATAAGACATGATCTGAGCAGTTTGCCTGCCGGAATGAAGTTTGATCCAAGTGATGTGGAGCTTCTTGAACATTTGGAGGCAAAAGTGAGGTTGGATGATCAAAGGCTTCATCCATTGATTGATGAGTTTATTCAGACCATTGAAGGAGAGGACGGAATATGCTACTCCCACCCAGAGAAATTACCTGGTAATAGATTTAGATTCTCAACTCTTCTATGTTCGATGCATTTGATGATTGACTTCACAATACGTACCGACTTATCTTCTTTTGTGTGCATTAATACATCAAATATTTCCCCAAGCATTTCTTTACTTTTTAGTAAGAAAAGAAACTGTTACAATAAAAGACTATGCTTGCGAAATATAATCAAAGTGGCATACTAGATAGCTATAAGGAAATTCAACTTGGTACATATTTTGAGGGTCCTAAGATTTTTTTTTTTTTTTCTTTTTTCTTTTGAGGATTTTTAGATGTTACATTACCATCAAACTTTAACTTCTTTTGGTTTATTTGGAAATGTAGACTTATTATGAAGTTGCATTTCTTATCTACTGTTGTCTCAAATTCGATCAAATTCGACGTGTTTTATTCTTTGAGAGATATTGCCCATTGATGTAGGTTTGAACTATATTGTAATCAAGACTGATGACTTATTGATCATTTGATCCTCCATTAATGAAATCCTGCAGGAGCAAGCAAAGATGGGCAATTGCGACATTATTTCCATCGACCATCGAAAGCATATACCACAGGAACTAGAAAGAGAAGAAAAGTTCATACAGATGAGGATGGCAGTGAAACCCGGTGGCATAAAACAGGCAAAACTAGGCCAATTCTTGTTCAAGGAAAAGTTAAAGGATACAAGAAAATTCTTGTGCTCTACACCAATTATGGGAAGCAAAAAAAACCCGAAAAAACAAATTGGGTAATGCATCAGTACCACCTTGGCAACAATGAAGATGAAAAAGAAGGCGAGCTCATTGTTTCTAAGGTTTTCTATCAAACTCAACCTAGACAATGTGGTTCCAATATTAAGGATTCTTCTCCTAGGATTAAACCTAATCTTAACACCTCCAATTTCGGTGAATACTACAATCCAACGTCTATCATCTCGTTTGATCAGTTCGAGCACGATGATCAGTCATCTTCCCGTGTTCTTCCGAATTTTCATGCCCCTACTAATTCATTCATGTCTTGACCCTTCCTTTGATTCTGTTTTCTTTTCTTTTCTTTTGTTGTCTCAAGAGTACAGACATCGTTTTTCTAAAGATACTGTTATCGTACACTTGGCGTCTTCCAATAGGTAAAATGGCAAGTTTGTAGGTCAGTTAATCCGTTTCGCTATCTTATCTTACAACTTAACCCATGATCCAATGGATTTTAGAAGTGAAGCAGTGTATGGTGGAATAAATTAATATGCAAGGCACCATGATTAGGCAAAATAAGTCTTATTCGAGGTTCAAATATGTACTTCCAAACTGGTAGTTGAAAGTACAGATATTTTTTCTCTTAATTAATTTATATTTTAGCTTTTGATGTAATTCGATTATCTTTATATTGCTTGTCTTATTTCCATAGCTCAGGCTAACATAAGTTGTACATGTTTCCTGATCTGCAACAACAGGAGAATGAATACAAATGAGAATGAAACATTCTAAATATTTTGTTGTCTCGATCAATAAGAATTTTAGTTCATTTTTGTACGTGATTGTTTTTTCTCTACGACATTGTTACAAGTTAATTTCGTGTGAATTTTTTTCACGATCTATTTATCAAGATCGAACATTTGTGAAGAGTAAGCATAGAGAGGCGTTGTACTTAGAGTAGATCAAACTCTAGTCCTTACTTCTAACATTATTAATGCCCAAAAAAAAAAAAACTCTTAATGTTAGTGTTTTTATTATTATTTTTGTTTTTTATATTGACTCCCTCTAGGATGATGGNAAGTGAGGAAAAGCCCAAGGATGTCTTAACTGGGCCTTTGATCAAATCTGGTTTAGTTAAAGGGGCTGAATTACCAACTAGGCCAGCTAAGAAATTATGATTTCAGCAACTGGGCCAAGATTGATAAGTTTATTACGAGGAAATTACACCTACACCTGAAATTAGATTTCCAATCTCACAAATAAGATCACAAGTTTAACATTTCAAAAATCAGGTTTTAATTAAAAATTTAAAAACATTTTTTTTATTTTTATATAATTATATCTAATCAAACCCTAATATAATATGAAGAAACCGTCTCTAGCCCATTTCTACCCTCTCTCACCGTCTCTACAATCTCTCCACCCATCGCCCGACGGCGCCTCCACTCATCGCCGCCTCCACCCCTCTCTCTCTTCCCCCGAAAGAAATGGCCATCCTCCGTTCGTAGCGCCGCCACTAGGTGCGGCTCCGAAGCGAAAGCTGTTCGCTTCTCCTTTCGCCTTCCTTCCAAGAACCCCGTGGCTCACCGCATCTTCCAGTGTCCAGTTGAGATGAGGTCGTGTGTGGGTCCATGTTTGTACGTGCGTGCAGATCTTTTTTTTTTCTTTTCCTGTTCTGGTCGTCGGTGCTTTCCTGTGTGGGTGCGCTGCTGATGAGGTATACGTTGTGCTAGTTGAGGTTGAGAGATTTACAGCCAATTTTTGTTGTTGGCTATGGTGGATCTGGCGACGGTTTTGGCGGATCTAGCGACGGTTTTGTTGTTGTTCTGTGTTTTTGTGTAGTTGTGGTTTTTAGGATCGTTGAAATCGCCCACTGATAATTTCTATTTGGTGCTGAAACCGTGGTTTTTGTTGTTGTTGGTAGTGGCGTCAGTGGTTCTTTGTTTTCGTATAGTTTGGCTACTGGGCGGCGACGGTGGTGGTGCCGCTGATGGAGGCAATGGCAAAGTGGTGGTCACAAATGATTTAGGGGTTGTCACAATTGATTAGGTTGTTTGTGACCAATAATTTGGTTAGTTTGTGACCAGGAAACAAGATGTGACCAATGAATTAGATAAATTGTGACCAATAAATGCTTTGTGACCTAAAAATTATTAATTTGTGACCAATAACTTGATAAATTGTGACCTAAATAAGTATTGTGACTTATAAATTTTGTGATCTGTGAACAAATTGTGACTTTTAAATTTTTAAATTGTGACCAATAAAAAAATTGTAAACGATGAAAATTTTGAATTGTGACCTAAATTTTTTCTCCGGAATCGGAGCAGTCATCGGAACAAAGTGGCAGTGAAACGGTCATCAGAATCGTCGTCGAAATCGGAGCAGTCGTCGAAACAATCGCCGGAGTTGAGTTGTGATCGGAACGGTAGCCGAAATAGTCCCCAAAGCGATAGGGGTGGTGGAGGTGGAGTGGGGTAATTATATTATAATATAATTAAATATTTAATAATAAATTGATTTAATAATTTATTATTTCATTAAAAAAAAACTAATTTTTGAATTTTCAAATGTTTTTGTTGTTGTTGGTAGGGGCGTTCGTGGTTCTTTGTTTTGGGGTTGTTGGTAGTGGCGTCTGTGGTCCATTTGGTGTTGGTTGGCTATTGGGCGGCGACGGTGGTGGTGCCGCTGATGGAGGCAATGGTGAAGTGGTGGTCACAAATGATTTAGGGGTTGTCACAATTGATTAGGTTGTTTGTGACCAATAATTTGGTTAGTTTGTGACCAGGAAACAAGATGTGACCAATGAATTAGATAAACTGTGACCAATAAATGCTTTGTGACCTAAAAATTATTAATTTGTGACCAATAACTTGATAAATTATGACCTAAATAAGTATTGTGACTTATAAATTTTGTGATCTGCGAACAAATTGTGACTTTTAAATTTTTAAATTGTGACCAATAAAAAAATTGTAAACGATGAAATTTTGAATTGTGACCTAAATTTTTTCTCCGGAATCGGAGCAGTCGCCGGAACAAAGTGGCAGCGAAACGGTCATCGGAATTGTCGTCGAAATCGGAGCAGTCGTCGAAACAGTCGCCGGAGTTGAGTTGTGACCGGAACGGTAGCCGAAATAGTCCCNCCGGAGTTGAGTTGTGATCGGAACGGTAGCCGAAATAGTCCCCAAAGCGATAGGGGTGGTGGAGGTGGAGTGGGGTAATTATATTATAATATAATTAAATATTTAATAATAAATTGATTTAATAATTCATTAATTCATAAATTAAAATTTTAAAAACCTAATTTGTGAAATTTAAAACTTGTTTTTGTATTTTTGAAAAGGTGTAAAGTAAATACCTTAGAAATCTATTGTTCCCTAAGTTTATTATGATCAAGGGGATGCCTAGATTTTTTACCAACAAGATTGTGACGGCCTAGTTGTACGGTTGTACCATGGACTAAGACGAACCATTTGATAACGATTTGATGATCAATTACCGACAAAGACTAACTCTTGAGATTTCATTTTAAAACGTCAACCTCTTTAAGAGAAATAACACAAATTTTTATATTCTTTATTATTTCAATATTCAATTGATATGAAAATTTGAACTTTATTATGTCTATACAAGATGGTGGCTCATTTGTAAACACTAAGAATCCGATGAATCATTTGATCTTCTAGATGGATCAAAAATTAGTTTGAACATTATGCACTCTAATGCCATATTGGACTTTGCGGTTCCAATAATCTAAATACGTTTGTGGGGAAGACTTTAGTGATGAATTGTAAGTTTGCATCTATATTGTACTTATAGCTAAAATAATATTGGCAAATGAAAAATTATGTGTATGTTTAGTTCACTTTTTTTTTTAACTCGTTAGAATGATAATGCATCGATCGGACATATAGTCCCCTAACCTTTATTAGCTGATCACACGAATACAAACTCGCTAACGAACATGTAACTCACGTCATATTACGTTGTAAAGAAAGGAATCCAAAGTAAGAGGACACTACATAGATTGGCGCGTATCGGAAGCATGCACTTATGTCGTTTTCGTAAAAACTTTATTTCGTTATATTATCAACAAATTGATAGAGGTATGTGCCGTCCAGTAACTGCATAAATGGATATAAAAGCAAAGAGTTTGTCGTGGTCCTAAAAATGTGTTGCCAAAAGTAATTTGAACAAAAGTAGAGGATTAAAATGCATGACAGAGGTCAAACTTGAGCAATTGTTTCATCATCTCTTTGCTTAAAAAGAGCCAAGAAATCACACGACAATCATTGTCCTCTCAAATTTTATGCATGTTAAGAGACCCCAGTTCTTTTTCTTTTTCAACATATATGGTCAAAGACAAACAAATATGCAACACAAAGACAAGGTTTCGGAAAACATCCCGCATGGCACGACTATATGGATATTCCTGATATTGCAGTTGCTTACTGTCAAATAGTGCATCTCAATCATTTCACTAAAAAGTAAGCATTTTGCACTAGCCTGTCTAGTTCTTTTTTCTCCTTTCTTCCCTTTTCCTTTTTTTTTATCTTGTAGGTTGTATATAATTTGCAAAGAAATGATTATTCTTTGATGAGATAATTCACTATACTGTGTTAAAAAAAGATACGAGTTCAAGTCTCACGACTCATTTATAAAAACTATCAACGTGCAGCTCTAGTACATGAATTTGGTCGATACATAAAGGTGTGTTGAAGACGAAATCTAAATGAGTTTATTGTATCTTTAACGTTCAGTAATTGGAGGTTGGGAAAGTCTTTTTAGTGGAGTTTTCTTCTGTATTTAATTTCACTAGGGTTGGTTATGTTAATACTAAAAAACTATGGAGTACAAAATGAGGAAGGGACATATTCTACATATAAAAATTAAAGAAAGATTAAAACTTTACGAGTTTAAAAGAGAACCACAAGCATAAATAACAATATTATTGTTATCACGTTACTAAAAACGCTTTGAGAAAATCACAAGTTTGAAAAGTCCTATAAAAAGAGCGAGTGAAGTTTTAATAAGCAAGCCTACCTAAATTAGAGAATTAGGTTTTCAACATAGCTTATAATTTAATTTCTAGAAGATAGCAATTTCATAACATAAATGCAACATTGCAATAGTGGAGTTCAAAAGGGACCTCATGCATCCCCTCTGCCCCCCACCACAGACCCCCTTTTTCACAAAAAATAAAGCTACGATTTCAAAGGCAACAGTTTCAACAGAAAACATAAATCTCCTATCTCGGACTCTTGGATAGATTTTTCAATGCACCTCTTAAGTACCGTCATGAAATGCGACCTTTTCCTCTCTACAAAGTCTAGAAATAGTTAAATCCTTCACTTCTCCTTTATTCCATCTTCACTTAGAGAACATATATGATCATATCCATCCATTGATTGATGATGGATGGCAAATAGACTCTATCCCAACGCCAAGAAAATCCCTTGTTTCTCCCCTTGTGACCTTATTTTCTACGTGTTGACGCTTTGGGGGAGGATACATTTGAAGATGATTTAGGCCAGAAAGATCACTCACTGAACTCTCTACATCACTTCCAATGCCAGAAGTTACTGGATTTGTACCATAACGTACTCCACAGAATTTGTTCTCATTTTGGACTGAATTTTCAATGCACTTAAACCCAAAGTTTCCTAGGAAAGAAGGGTCATTTGTGGTGGCTCCTATTTGGGCCGCTTTCTGCAATAAAGCTGTTGCTGACATGTTGGCACAAGATGGCTGGTGAATTTGGTGTTGGCTGCTTAACAAGGATGGGATGCTAACATCTTCAACATTATTCAAAGGGATTGAAGAATTTTTGGTTAATTCTTCAGATCCAATTGAGGAAAGTTTATTTCCCAAATCCCAATTAAACTGATGACTTGAAGGTGGGGGGTTTGAGAAAGAACTAGTAACAAGTGGATCAGGAAAATTATGTAATGATCCTGTACTAATAGGAACTCCCATATGATTCATTCCTTGAAAATTTCTGGCCATGAATTCTTGGCCCGGTGGACTCTGGCCAATCCAGTGTAATAGTCCGTGTCTTGTTGGATCCATTGCTTGATCGTTGCTTGAGATTGGCTTGAAAATGGAAGAAAAATTCTGCACCATGTTTGGCCCTACTGGCGCTCCTACGAAATGATAATTAATGTTGCCTGCTGCATGGTTGTTCATGTGAGATGCCCCTGTAACTCTTGCTGTTTCTTCAGCCAAGGCGTCACAAAATGCCCTGTGTGTTACAAAGCTGTCCCTCCTGCTCACAATAAATTCGAGAAATAATCCATCAGTCAAGCCAACATGTAATATACTTGTGACTTATTTGATAAGAAGAACCGTGCAGTGCTTGACAGGAATAAGATAGAAAAACAAGTTGAAATCTTGTTCATTCTATTATCGAATCCTCAAGTCTGGTCTACTATTACATATCAAAAATACCTTAAATACAAAGATGTCTGGAATCGAACAAGATGCAAAAGAAACTCTAATATGTCTTATTTTTTTAATTTAATTATATGATAATCAAAACAATCTCTCTCATAATTTGTCTTCCTGTAACTATTAATTCAACCATCTAAACAATGTCATTAAGGAGTATGAGGAAAATATATTACCTCGAAAATATAGTCCCACAGTCACATTTGTATTCCCTAGTGCCACAAGTCTTCGAATGCGCTTTCCAATCTGACTGCACGGCATATCGTTTAGAGCACTTCTCGCACTTCCATTTCTTCTCCCCGTGCTTTCGACAGAAGTGCTTTTTGATGCCTGTTAGGTCTCCCAGAGCCCTCGAGGGGTGATGGTGGACGCAGGTCTTTTCGGGGCACACGAAGACGCGCTTCCTCACTTCTTTGTTTGTTCTTTGCTTTAGCTTCCATGGCAAGTTGTGCCCTCTTCTGTGGAGTTGCAAGTTTTGATCCCTCTGGAAACCCTTCCCACATATTTCACACAAAAATCTGTTGGTGGCCATTAGAGTCTTTGGAGACAAGGCTATTACCTCAGCCTCAGGATCTATATAAAATATATGACTTAATTATAACACATGAAAAACAAAAAGGCTTGAATATACTCAGACTCGTAAAGCTGGATAGAAAAGGGAAAAGAAAGAATCAGAATTTGATGAAAAAGGAAGGTACCTGGGTTGCCTGGAAGATTTCTCTTCTTCTTTACAGGAGGAAGATTGGATCCACTCATTATATTTTGAGCGGAACCAACTAAAATTTCTTCCTCAGTCATTTTTCTCTAACAATTTTCTTTTCTTCTACCTTGAGATTCAGTAAGCAAAAATACTTAATTTAATTAGGAAGATGATTTCATTTGCAAGCACAAATAACTGAAATATAGCAAAAGAACAGCTAAAAGATACCTTTTGCTGTGATGTCAACCTCAATAGCACTATCTGAAAGATGCAGAATTGAATCTCTCTATAATTAACACACACACACACACACACAAAAGAAGTATCAGCAATATAAGTAAGAAAATATGTTGAGACGAAGCGAGTAAATAAGTCTCTTAGTAACACAGGCCTTGCTGCGACAATCTGGTGAGATTAGTCTTTGTCTCTCCCATTCGTGAAAAAAAAATCAAGAACTCTCTCTCTCCCTCGTGTGTAGCAGGTTTTTAACTGCTTTCTGTCGGAATAGAATATATAATATTTTTTGCACAGTGGAATATTGGTTTTTTTTTCCTTTTCATGTGAGGCGGTGAAAAGTGAAAGTTGGAGATTGGGTGTAGGGGGGGGGGGGGGG